GAATCAAAGTGGATGCATGCAATTGGAGCTCATTGTTGGAGGTTCCTGTTGGTTTCCTGTTGGTGGTTGCTGTTGGTGTGCTCCAGACCCAAGGATTTGAAATTGAGCTGACTCCTCTTTCCAAGCTAGTGCATTTCGACCTGCTTTTCTGTTCCTGTTAGAATTACTGTTGGTGGTTCACTGTTGGTGGTTCCTGTGACTCGGAGCTGACTCCTCTTTCCAAGCTAGTGCATTTCGACCTGCTTTTCTGTTCCTGTTAGAATTACTGTTGGTGGTTTACTGTTGGTAGTTCCTGTGACATTAGTAGTTCTTTGCTCTAACGAGTCAGCTCAAGTTCACTCTTAGAACTCTTAAGTCTCGCACTTCTTCTCTCTCTTGATACCGAAGGCTCCAGCCTTCTTCTTGGTCTCTTGGGCTGGTCGGGCTCAAGACGAATCATCGTACTGCACTTCCTACAGCTCCGCCAACCAAAAGGCGTCCTCAGAATTGGCGTTCTCTTGGTGACTTCATTCTCAGCACCCTCCTCAGCAACAGTCCAGAATCGTCGTTATTCATCTCGTCCTTGGCACGAAACACATTGGCGTCCTTCTGATAGCTGAAGGCTCACACTTCTTCTCTCTCTTGACATACCGAAGCCGTGGTTCCAGCCTTCTTCTTGGTCTCTTGGGCTGGTCGGCAAGACGAATCATCCTTCTGCGCTTCCTACAAATATTCACGATCTTTCTGAGCTTGTGGCCCCCAAAACAGTTGCTGGAGCTGCTCCCGACCCCCAGAAAGCCGCGCGCGTACTACGAACATACACCCCCTACCGATATGTGATGGATCCGTAGTGCCGTCGCCACATGCCAAGCAATCAAAGCTTGTACCAGCAACTTCAGGAGCAACTTGGACCCACTATCGATCGTTGTATGTCAATTTCCGGAAACTGACAATGTTGACACTTGCAAACATGCACGACACAGCCGGCACAAAGCCAACGGCCCCTTCCAGATGAGCTCGCAGGTTGGAAACCACTCGAATGGATTGTTGTCTGTCAACGGAGATGGAAAGGGATCCGTTGCTTCTATTGTTGTCTGACAAGTCCAGGCTCATCGTGATGACATTACGTGATCCATTCTTTCCAAAAAGCCTGGCTGCGTGACCGGACAACGGACCATCACGATCTGAACTTGGTCCGCAGATACCCCAACAATCCGTATGTTGGCCACAATACTCGGGTATATCAAAGCTAATAGTATCCTCACCAGTGGATTTCTTCTTCATCACGCCAAGCCAAATGTGAGAGCCAAACATTTTCTTGTTAGAAGTAGCATCTGTGTTGACCGTCCACTGATAGGTTCCACCTAAACCACAAACAAAGTCTAAGCAATCCGAATTCCAGCGTATGCCACTGGCAAAAATTTGTGATCCGGTATGCTTCCACTGCAGCGGCCAACATCCAAGTTCCACATGATGCATCAAGGACTTGGCCTCGTCTAATCGATGTTCTTTGGTTTCATCGGGTATGGACGGGTTGCTTTCTGACCAGGCGCTGAGCAGGAAATCAATACCGAGGACGTCCAGTTTGTTTTCACGCTGAATGTCTTGAAGGATGGCCCTCAGAGTGTCAACGTCAATGCCCCCCAGTACAATTTCATTCAGTGCCTCGGGTACGGGAATGACCGAGCCGACCACTTTCTGGGCCTGTTTCTCGAGTTCCCTCGAAATGGCAGGACCCTCTTGCTTCGATGCTGCCAAAATGGCAAAGGTCAGTCCAGGACAGACCGCGAGGATGGAGGAGAGACAAAACTGCACCTTTTGATACAGCCCCGGCAATCCAACAGAAATGGCTGCTTCTGTCAGCGGCAGCAATTCCTGGAACTTTTTCATGAAGTCGACAGTAGGCTTGCCAGTGGATCTCGCGTCAATGGTCATCTCCCTCAAGATACTGGGTGTATCCGTATGGATGTACTCCACAATAGCCAATAGAATGTTGCTGGAAAGTCCAATAGGTACTACATAGCCACTGTTTTTGCCTTGCTTGGATCGTCTCTTTTGGAACAGGCTCTTGAAGTATCCACTGCGAACAGACAAGGCCATGCTATTGGCAGGTATGAGCACTCCATCATTGGCTCGCAGCGAGACGTCGCAGAACTCTCCATTGGCCAACATGGCAAAGGATTGTGCCAGGGGCACCTCTGCTTTGGCTGCCACAGCGGTAGACATGCTTGGATGTGAAAACATCATTGTCGTAACAAGATCTCAGGGAAAAATGATACTAGAATGGGCAACACGGACGAAGCTTTGTTGGGGGTGAGTGGGTGAGTGGGGCCATCATCCCCAACGGATGTTCTGGAAGAGGGTTGGGTTCGCTCAACTGTGCGACACCCTCAAAAAAGCGTAAAAATTCATTCCACTCAGGTCTCTGGCACTGTACCAGAACCTTGCTACATGGTGGTGACCACGATGATGACCTAAGAAGCCAGCCAACAAGTACTAGCTAGCTAGCTAATATGAGAGCAAGGCACTTCACAAAAATTAGATCGGTCGCCTGTGAAGGTATCCGAGGAGGAGAAGCGACCCAAAACCGCCCCGCATGAAGAAGAAGAACAACACAAACTTTACCCAGAGACTGGATGAAACGACCAAAGAAGTCTTGGTTGGAGGGTCTCCGCTTGTGCAAAATTCGCACAAAGAAGGATACAGTATGCGAGTTGCAGTCAAGGTGCAGGACAAGAAAGTTGGGAACGGTTTGCTCCTTACTTTGAGAATAAGCAGTGATGAAGTCAGTTTCAATAGAAAGGGGATTCCTTCCAAGTGCACGGCAAAGCATCGGTACGGCACGGGTGGAATTGTTGCTTGTCGTCAACAAGAAAAGTAGTCATTCAGCATGACAGAACGTGCGTGTGTCCCTGGTTGTATTCGACGGCAGAGATGTGATTGAGTAAGGCACCAGGTGGTGAACGGTGCTTTGTTCCTCTCCCAACTAATACTACTCACAGTCTGCCTGAGAACTGAAGGCAGCATAATAAGCACAAGCAATGTACTGTCCTGTCTGGGTTGGTTCTCAGGTTTCTGCAACGACAAAGTGGATTGCCAGTCTATCAATGTTACATAGCTACTTTCCTGCTGCACTAGCTAGCTACAAATTAGGAGAAAACAGCCAGGTTTCCACAGCGTCAAGTGCCAAGATGATGGACCCTCTCCAGAGCACAGTATCAGAATTGCCTTGAGTGGCAGCAAAAGCACACTAGAGCTAAATTGTCCAGTCTGAGAATCGAACTCAGGTTTCCGCAACCACAATGCGGGGTACTAACCACTGTACGAACTAGACGCAAGCTAACTGGACACTTGCTGTGCAGCTGGCAAATTTGGGTGCCTACGACGCTTGGTGAAGCGGAATAGTCTAGATTGAACGATGCAATGGTGACGGTGTTTTGGAATGATAGCTCTCTCCCTACCGGTACATGTGGCTAGCTAGCTAGCTAGCATAGAAGCTTTTGCTCTATGCTACCGTATGCTAGCTTGAGAGAATCCTCAACAGGTGTGACAGAGTTGCGAGAAACACTAAATCTTTAGAGCCGGCCAATGGCTGGTGCTACTGCGAGCCACCAGTTTCGGTACACCGAAGAAGAGCCAGCAGCACCTCCTCTGTAATAGCAACATCAGTTCATAACCGTAGACATGTTTTCAGCTTTCCAGCTTTGCAATTGAACTGCTCGGTTTCATCAGTACGTAGTGATGTCAGCTCACGGTTGTAGGCGTGTTCAACTGCGCGACTTTTAAAACAATAGTATCCGGAAGCCTGGATCTTTCTCGGAAGATCCAAGACGTCAGCAACGGTCACCTTTTGTTGCATTTCCAGGTGGGAATGCCTTCGACACCATCATCCATCCATCCATCGGAGTCTCTAAAAGGAACCAAGCTGGTCCTTTGGAGACCATCATAGTCTTTGTGTTCCGGAAGACAATCAACAATCCCCCAAAGGGTTGCCAAGATAGATAGATACCCATTTCATTATTTTTCTAGAGAGTACCATGCTACGATTGACGAGTCAAAAAGTCCTTGGGAGCAACCGTGTTGTGGCTGCTACAACACGAGGCTTCGCTTCGGTTCCGCAATGGGCGACCATGGATCCTCACCAGCTGGGTGTGGATGCGACACCGTACGATGTTTCCAACTGTGTGGGTGGGAAGTGGACCGCCGATACCAAATCCAAAATGATTATCCCCCATCCACTCGACAAGGATGCTCCTCCCATTTTTACCATTCCCGATACCCAAGCCGACGAAGTGGAACCCTTTCTCGAAAGTCTGCGAGCATGCTCCAAGACGGGTTTGCACAATCCACTCAAGAATCCAGAGCGTTATGTGCAATATGGAGAAATTAGTCGACGAGTGAGTAGTAGTGTGTAGTGCCAAACCTGAAGTATACAACAGGACACTCCTTGTTCGGTATATTTTCTCACTAGCTAGTTCTTCTTGTCAATTCCCTCACTGCTACTAAAACACACTAGGCTGGCGACGCTCTCATGCAACCGGATATTGCCGAATTCTTTACCCAATCCATTATCAAATGCGTGCCCAAATCTCACGCCCAAGCCATGGGAGAAGTAGCCGTCACGGCCGCATTTCTCAACAATTTTGGAGGAGACAATGTCCGCCGTCTCGCTCAATCCTTTGGAGTTCCGGGAGATCACTACGGTCAAATGAGTGTGGGACACCGTTGGCCCTATGGCCCAGTGGCATTGGTGACACCCTTTAACTTTCCGCTCGAGATTCCAGTCCTACAACTCATGGGCGCTCTATTCATGGGGAACAAACCGGTTCTGAAACCATCCGAACAAGTCTCGATTGTCATGGAGCAATTCATTAAACTTCTGCAACATTGTGGCATGGATCCCGCCGATGTCGACTTTTTGAATTGCAAGGGGCCCGTGGCGCAAAAGGTCATTGTGGAAGCACCCGTGCGCGTCACACAGTTTACCGGATCCTCCAAAGTGGGAGAGATGCTGTCGGCTGCCACCCATGGCAAGGTCAAACTCGAAGATGCCGGATTTGACTGGAAAATCATTGGTCCGGATGTTGATAATGTTGACTATGTGGCGTGGCAGTGTGATCAGGATGCCTATGCCAGTATTGGACAAAAGTGCTCGGCGCAATCCATTGTCTTTATTCACGAAAACTGGAAGGATGTCGGATTGGTGGACAAGATGCAAGCCAATGCCGCCAAGAGAACGATGGATGACTTTACCGTGGGACCCGTCTTGACCAATACCACCAAAAAGTTTTTGGATCACACCAACCGGTTGGCCAGTATTCCTGGTGCCAAGGTCCTTTGGGGTGGCAAGGAACTGGCCAATCACAACATTCCCGAGCAATATGGAGCCGTCGAGCCGACGGCTGTCTTTGTGCCACTGGAAGAAATGATGAAGGAGGAACACTTTGATGATTGCACCACCGAACTCTTTGCACCATTCCAGGTCGTGACCTTTTACAATGATGATTCGTTGGATACGGTCCTGGAGGCTACCGAACGCATGTCGCATCACTTGACGGCCGCCGTGGTTTCCAACGATCCTGCCTTTCAAACCAAAGTGTTGGCCAACACGGTCAATGGTACCACCTATGCCGGACGACGAGCCCGCACCACCGGAGCCCCGCAGAACCATTGGTTTGGACCGGCAGGAGATCCTCGTGGAGCAGGGATTGGAACTCCAGAAGCCATCAAACTGGTATGGTCTTGTCATCGAGAAATCATCAATGACAATCTCGTCCCTGCAGCATGGAGTCAACCAAAGACAACCTAACTGACCATCAGTAGAGCTGGTGCATTCAATTCAGGACAGGTTATCTTAGATGGACTCGGAAGAACGGTGACAAGAAAGCACATGTGCGAAATCTCCTTTTTTCGATGATTTGTGGAGTACTAGTATTTGTGGTATGAATTCAGTCCTTTTCGTAGGACTCTTGATAGAACAATACACGAGACGAGATGAAGTAAATAAAGGCTAACTACGGCCACACTTGGGTTTGCAGCGTACTTGTGCTCTACGAGCAGGACAACTAACTTAGCTCAATCTGGTAGCGCCAACTATGAAGCACCACTCACGCTCGGTCGCTTCCCATTACGATTCCATTAGTTCCAACAACAAACACAACTACTTCAGGGGCCCGATCTGTACCGTACTCGACAATCATGGTCGTGGGGGTAGGGAGTTCATGGAATGATTCGATTCGATTCGATTCAATCATTCGAATGTGGTGCATGTACGTTCCAAAGTTGAGAGCGAGCACTTTTGCAGCCGAGAACATTGAGAACGAACATGATATCTGAGCGTTTGCATGGATCAATCAATCAGGACTTGTTCAAGTCGACTGGATTGGATTCCTTTCGGCCACTCAGCAATCTACTGGTAGCGCCAATTGTTGTTGCTGCAAGGCAAGCTCGCCAAGGCCTGAATCATCCCACCCTTGTTTCCTTCTCTCTGCTTCTTAATTAAGTCGTCATGTGGTTGTCAACGTTTTGTTGTGGCTGTGGTTGTGGTTGCGGTTGCGGTCCGAAAGAAAGGACGCCACTTGATTCTTCCCGAGCCGGTTCCAAACACGCTCCGTAATGGGTGTTCGTTGTGCAAAGATGAATGCATTTTGGTAGCCTCCCTCGGTTTGCACCTTGACACGGACCCGTGCCGCTTGAGTAGCATCATCCATACTACTACTGTCAATGCCTAAAAACAAGTGTTCGGCCCAGGTTTCAAACTTGTGTTGGAGATGCCATCGGGGTGGTCCGGACCATTGCTTGCCCTTGAATTTACCGTTGGCGCAGACCCAACGAGCCGGAAAGGAATGCCCACAAAGAATGTTTCATCGCGTTGCGCATGGGTGGCAAACAACACGGTTTGAGCGCCAAAAAGGAAATACTATCGGGATTGTTGTGAAATAAGTCCACGGCCTTGAGCGACAGTGTCCCACACAAGTAAGTGAACCGCCAAAACCAGGACATGTCCGTCCGCTTGGGAAAAGAATCGTTTGTGCAACGTCCGATGATTGCAGGATTGTTTGAGATCTTGTTTGGATGTCACGAGTGGAATGGGCCAGAGATCTTGGTAGATTGTATTATTATTAGTACATGTAGTAGTAGTATTGTTGTTGTTGTTGTTGGAAGATGGTACGGTCCCGTAAATGCATGTGTTCCCAGCTAATATATATGATGTTCCTTGGGTTGTTGTTGATTCTGCATGGGCCACGCCTTGCTTGTCCATGAGTACAGTACGAAACGATCGACTCGATCGGGTGGCAGCATTTCACTGAGCAAGAACATGCTCAAGTATCCTTTTCCAGATGCCAAATCCACAATGGTGACATTTCGATAATAATTAATAATAGTCGTCATTATTGTCAAGTCTTTTGAGTCGTCATGAAACAATCCAAGAGGACGGCATCGAGAATGGGGACGGCTTCAATGAATTCCTTCAGGACGCGTTCCTTTTTGAAGAGACGACGCCACAGCTTCGGGTTGCCTCGATACCGTTGACGCCATTGGCCAATGGCATGTGGGGCCAAGTCTTGAAAGAGTGTTGGATTGGCTCGACACAGAGCTTGGTCGGTACGGTATTGTTGTGACACAATTCGTTTCGAATCCAATCTTCAAATCCTCGTCATTGTATCCAAATGTGAATGTCGTGGGAATCGGTTGGCAGCGGCATCTAGCTAGCAGAGAGGAAGACACTGGGAGCTGCACCAAGCAAATCAATAGACGCAGAAACAGAGTAGCTACAAGTCTTGCCTCATGATGGCTTCGGATACCTCCTTTCCTTGCTGTGAGGGACATCAATCATTGCCTAGCTAGCTAGGAAAGACTTTGTAAGGATGACATGCGTCGTGCCCTCCCCTTGACCTCTGTCTCCATCCTCATCTTAGCTCTCTCTAATCCATAGTAAACCCAATTCGACTGACATACAGTCGTACAATGCAAGGAGGTGTGATGGTACGATGGATCTTATAAAAGCCTGCGCAGCTGCTTTTACGATTATCAGGCAAGGGCGAGACTTGTCTTGTGCCTACCCGTTTGCTAGTGGCTAGCCACGGTAGTTCCAATCTACTAAGTCTTGCTGCAAGGTCAAGAAACGGGACTCAAATGATCCAGAGATGGTTCATTCTTTTGATTTGCCCTATGCTAGGAATGATCCAACAGTGAGAATATTCTCCCTGAATGTTCCACCCTGTTCTTCTCCCGCAGACACAATAAAACCAACTGGTATGGCAATGAAAATTGCACTGGAAATGTCCAAAACAATTAAATATTATCCGAATAAGTCCCAAAGTGGAAGAAACAAGCGTTTAAAGACCTTTGTATTAAGCATATCCATGAAGTGCTTGCAGGTGTGGCTGACCACAACCATGGTGTCCAAGTGAAAAACACTGCAGAAGGACTACACGATGAACTCAACCAATATGGCACCTACACAACCAAACTAATGATCTACAATTGTCTACCTTCTTTGCTTGTCACAGCTAATCCCTTCGGGATTGCCCTCGGTCGCCTTCTCCTTCTGCTGCTCATCATCCATGGTCAAGTGGTTGGTTGTTGGCTATCTCTCAGTCCGGATGGACTGGGGGAGAGCCTCACAACGCTTGAGCTAAGCATGACCCAGAAGGAGATGTGAAGTCAAGGTCAGGATTGAAACCTGAACCTGGACTGAAAAGCTTCTTCTGACCACCGGGTGGGCGGGTGTTGGGATGCAGGAAAACGAAGGCTTTGTACATCAACTGTTGTTGGTGTACAAAGACAAGAGAATAAGCACTTGCTAGGAATGGCCCGACCAGTACAAAGTTGCACTCAGCTAGCTTTTTTGCTAGAAAAGAGCCCCGACCAGTACAAAGTTTCAAAGTGTTATTCAAGCAAACAGCAGAGCTGTGCAGTGATAAAGACATGTCTTGTACAGATTGTACTAGTCGGTCCATTGTACTGGTGGGGCCATTTCTAGCTTGGTGCTTGTTATCTTGTTGGTGCCAGCTCATCCAATGCCAATGCTGGGTGAGCAGGCACCACCTACAGTTACCTGCTGGTCATGCTGGCTTCAAGGTTGTTGACCCTCGTTTGCTCTGCTACTGGTGCTTCACTATGAATGGAGTTAGTCTCTGCCGGACAATCCCGAAGCTCGGTCGCCTTCTCCTTCTGCTGCTCATCATCCATGGTCAAGCGGTTGGTTGTTGGCTATCTCTCAGTCCGGATGGACTGGGGGAGAGCCTCACAACGCTTGAGCTGAGCATGACCCAGAAGGAGATGTGAAGTCAAGGTCAGGATTGAAACCTGAACCTGGACTGAAAAGCTTCTTCTGACCACCACACAAAGCACCACACAAGTGGAGCGACCCGTGAAGGCGAAGGATGCCATGAGGAGAAAGATGGTGACGGAAGAGATGGGAGAAGAAGAGGGAAGAAAAGTGGGGAGGAAATGTCGAGTTGGGCCGGTAGTGGATGGAGCCGGAATGATGCTGGGATGGCTCGCTGATTTAAGGAAATCGTGGGAGTGATTGGCGTATCGTGGGGAATCGATTTTTGTTGGAGTGAATGACAAAGAGAGGGTCAACCGTGGAATCTGTCACGATTGTGGAGTGGTGGAGTCAAAGAGAAGCACTCGATAAGAGATCATAAATTTGGTGAATGCCAAGGTAGGTAGGTAGAGAGTCGAATTTGGTGTTGGACTGGTTTGATGCTCACTGATTATGTGGATTGGTTCCAAATTTGATTTAGGTGGACGAGAAAGTGTGTCGAAGTGTACAACAATGGCTGGTTCGGACAATGAAGGTGGGGAAGGAGGATCTCCCCGAGGACGATCGGGTAAGGAGAGAGCTACGATGTGTTTGCTCGAACGCAGAAGTTTGTGATCCTGTCGACGGCTCAGGGGTGTATGTGTCGGAACAGAGATTGAGGTGTGGACGCGAAGTTTATGAGCGAGATGAATCCGGAGGTGATGGCTGGGATGGGGAGGCCAATCGGTTGTGAGTGTGTTTGGTGGGTGGGGCGATGAGACGCCGGAGGGGATGTGGTCGGACCACTTGGAGGCTGCGGATCGGGGTTGGCCCCGGAGTTGGCAGGTTATGGCTCGCGACAATTTTGGGAGGAGTGGTGGAGGACGGGCCCTTGACGCCATGGACACCTTCCGTCCTAACGTGATGGGTATGGTGGCGGAGGATCTGCGCGAGGCTATGGCCGCGCAACCATGAGCCAACATGAAGGCTTTATCAAGATTCGGAAGAAGGATGCAGCGCAGGAGGTTGCGGTGGCTGTGGTGATGCAGGGCTTGGCTGATGTGACTGCTGGACGAGTGGAGGGTGGTCGTATTTTCGATCAGATGAAGGCGGCGTATGGCGAACGCAAACGAGAGCGTGATGACGCTATCATGGAGCGTGCGGTGCGTATTCGGTCTGGCGAGGAAGTTTGGGCGAGTGACAGCGAGGGAGCGGCGGAGCCGTGGGACACTGCTGTGTTGCCCTGAATGGTGGCTGTGGGCGCTGCGCTGAATGGAAGGGTGGCGTCCGGCGAAGCTGATGTGGGAGATTATAGCTGCGTGGACATGGTCGACGAAGAAGGTACGGACCCTGCGGTTCTCGCGATGGAGGCATTGCGACGAGAGCTTATTCATTGGAAAGAAAAAGAGGTGTGAAGACCATTGCGGCAGATGTATTGATGCCGGTACAGGAATGGCACGATGTTGGCGATCCGAGTGGAATGGTTGGCTGAAAAGAAAACATTCGTGATAGTGACGTAGCTTATAACCCGTATTAGGGTCGCGCGTTAATATCCAGAAAGGTAGATATGCCGCTTGTTTCGTATAAGCCTGATCAATCTGGCGAAGGATCGCTGGAACTTGCGAGTACGATTGGTGTCATAACTTTGGACTATGACTCGTTTGGAAGATGATTTACGAGATTTGTGCCGGCTGATGCGGGCGATGCTGGTGCAGTGAATTGGTGTTGGAAAGGTGATGGAGCTGATGATTGACTGGGACCACTGCATCGTGTGAAAGTGGGGATCGGATGGAGAACGAAAGTGACGACGAGAGTGACTTCGGGTGGGAAGTCGCGGGAGGTGATCGTAGCTGACAGTATGAAGGGAGAACTGGGAGGTGAAAACGTCGAGGAGCACGCAGTGGTATGTGCGATGGATCGCAGGGTGGAGGTTGCGAGGACGAAGTGTAAGTGTGAGAGTAGTTTGAAGCTATTGAGTAGTGGAATGAAATTGTTTTAGTTTAGAGGAGAGCGCCGCGAACGCGGCTACTGTGAATCCTCCACCATGGTGTCGTCTCACGGATAGTGATCGACACTCTCGGGTTTCCAACGAAGGCGAGCAGCGATAGCTGGAATGTCGAGGCCCATGGCACGAAGCACTAGAGCGGCAAAAACCCGGTTGGAGTGAGTGCAATGGCTGTAATGTGTTTGCGGTAGAAGTGTTGGATCAGGTAGGCATCGTCAGGCTTGACGCATGATTTTTTTTATGTCATCATCCTTGAGGAAGGTGTAGCCGCGAGGGGCGGAGGATCTTGGAAAACGCCAATCGGCTCGTGGGGCTGAACACAGGTAGAATAGGCGATAATAATAGGATAATGGCATCAATAGGACAGAAGAAGCCAGAGCCACGACGGTAGAGCTTGAGTGTGAAGTTGCGGCCGCTCTTGTCAAAGCGCCAGCGTACCTCAAGTTTAAAGATCGGTCTTGATGGAAGAGAAAGAGGTCTTTCGAAGGGTTGAGAATATGCGATCGGCGGAATAGAACGTGAAGTCATCACGGTTGAATGCTCATGGGCGTGCCAGCCCATTTGCGGCGGCTCTTGGTATTGGGACTTTGGAGTATTGGCCCCGTTTGCGCTGTTTTAGCATATTCAGACAACCGAACCCAGAGAAAAGCGCGAGCGGTCCGTCGAAACTGCGCTTTCATGCGAGAGACGCGCAGGATCAAGGGTTGATTGGGCTCCAGTTGACGAAAAGTTGCGGAACATGGGAAGAGTAAAGGGCTGGCGTTTTTCACACAGTTGTTGCCATTTCTGACGCTGTTGGATTGGGTCATTGAGGAAGGAATAAGTTGTGGTTGGC